CCTCAACAGGAACGTTTGCATCAGCAGCATCACCATTGTCGTGTGAACCATCGTCGCTGTGACCAACACTATCACTACCAATATCGCCACTATTACCATTAGCATTCTGCAACCAATACTGACGACTGTCGACGTCGTCGTAGTAGTATCAGTAGTAGTCGTTGTCGTAGGCATAGTAGCAGCAGCAGTAGCAATAGTAGCAGTAGTAGCAGTAGTAGCAGCCGCGACAGCAGTAGTAGCAATCGCAGTACTAGTCGTCGTCGTGGTGGTAGCAGCGGTAGTGGATGGATCTGCCTGCAACTGCTCAAGCTCGATGGCAAAGAAACCCGATGTCGCCGCCTGGGAGCCCCAGGGAGATAAAACCCCATTTTGTGCTTTCGGGTTTGTGCACTTGTATTTCGACACCTCTTTCCAAACCCGAGCCGTAAAGCCTGAACTCAAGCATGAGGCTTCCATAGTGGGCCTCGACCTTTCCAAGGCGGATAGCGGTCATGGGATCTGCCACCACAACGAAGGTCCTTTCAGAAGGAACAAAGACGTCTCTCAAGCACAGAGTAGATGCAACGAATGCTCGTCACTTGGTCCAGACTGCATGAACCAACTGAAGGAACTTATCGCGAGCCTCAGAGTCACCATCTTCCTGGGTGCCCCATTTTCCTGAGGCCCAGTCAGGGCCATTTCTTCCGCCCCTGCGTCCGACCGTGCGAAGCCTGGCCAGGCAAGGACTCAGAGAGTTTCGGGCTTAGGGTTTAGGGTATTAGGGTTTAGGGTTCAGGGTCCAAAGTAGCTCTAAGCCAAACCCTGAAGCAATCAACACCGGGACAGAGTAGGCCATTGTTTGCTGGCCCTTCTAAGAAGGGTCCTAGTATTCCGGGAGTCCATCTCGGGGCCACTTTAACAAGAATCTTATTCCCAAGGGTCTGACTCGGGATCCCTTGTTTCGATCCTTAAACGCAAAAGACGACGGCCACTTTGCAGCCTGGTTCAAAGGGCCGGCCATGTCTATCGTGGACGTGGGCGCCCAGGAATGTCAAGTACCTGAAGAGACAACACACTGGTGATCCTAGTCAAAAGGCAAGCGAGTTAAGATCACACTACGTCACAAGGAGTCGCAACACACTACATTGCACGAACAAGCGACAATCAAATGATATCGCATCATAGTCCGTCACACTAGAGGGCATTGAGCAGATGATAGTATGCACATGACAACTCCCCCATTCTACACCCATTGCCAAGATTGCTCCCCTTAGTGAGCTCATCTTTGTTGGTGCTTGTAGCACATAACCAGTACATGTACATTACAGCTCATGCACAGCACGTTTCCACACTGCATCTAGGACACATCACCGAAATGTTGCAGCACAAGTACACTACTCGCTTCTAAGCTTCGCTTGCACGCCTACAAGCATAGCCTGTCCAAAAAATGGGCTTGGAGTTGAGCAAGCTGAAAGACATAAATCTACGGCCGCACTCTAGCAGCAATTACGTGAACATTATGTTGCAGGAACATATCAGTGCACAACCCTGCAAGCCTGATTGCACAACGCCACTCAGACGACGAGCATGCGTCGTCATGCGCTTTAGCTGTTCATCGCCTTTGGCTTTGTATTGCTTCTGTCAAGTTGAATGCTGCGGATTAGTTTTATGTTCCATTGCATGCGTCGTGAGATTTCACTACATCAGCTCCGACCGCTCTTTGTGCCGTGCTTCACCACCTGGCAACCCTTATACATGTCGAACTAATATGCCCTTTCAGGTCTCCGGTCGCACCAAGTCTGGGATCAGCTGTGCCTTTCCGAGCCGCACTTCCTGCTTCTGCGAAAATGCCAAGCCTAGTGCGAGCAGAGTCACGTGAAGCACGGATACCGTCTTGCATTGACCACGGTGAAGACCTGCTCAATGCGGTCTCTCTCGCGGATTGGTAACGCAAGCGCGGGTGTCGCCTTGCTTTTCGGGTCCCACTGAAAAGTGTCGTCAGCGCTGCCAGACTCCTCGCAGCAAGCTCACACATGGCTTTGGGGCACGATTGCTCTACGAACTGAAAGTTTCAACTACCGTCAAATCCCTGAGATATCCCCTTACAACAGGACGACAGTCTACAAATTTCTCCACCCTTCTCTTCAGACTTTCTCTGGATTGGTGCAGATCCAACACGGCTTCGCTTGTCACTTTCTTTCTCGACTATGGCCATGCACCCAACGTCGGTCGACACCTCCTCGTTTTTCCCACATAGCCCGATTTTCGTTCATTCTCCCATACTCGCGATATGCTTTCACAGCAAGAGCTTCAGTTCAGAACGCAACAATATGCTTCTAAAGCTGGGGCCAGCTGGAACCTCTTAATTATGATGAAGCAGCTTAACAGCAGACTTGTCGTTCGGACGCGTCCCGACATGAGCTTCACAACAACAGCCGGCGTTTGTAGACGTAGACTGCGCTGCTAGCATGTACGTTGCAGTCTGCTGCAGCACCCCATCCTTCTAGAAAACGTAGTTCGAGCGTTTCTGCGCCTACTTGGTGGTGAACACAAGCGGTTTCTGGCGAGACCACATGGAGCGGAGCTGAACTCGGTTTTGGCGCACTCCTGTCCAGCCAGTGCTGTTCGGGACTCTGATATCTCTCATAAAGCTGTCGTGCCCTTCTCAAGGCAGGCACTTTCCTTGCATCTGGAGCAGACGAGGGAAAGGCGCTAAATGCTGTGCTGCACGCGGCTTCACGGCTTGGCGTTTCATGGCATTTCGCCCATCTCGTATCACCGAAATTGCTGCATCGTCGGTGACATCATGGCTCTTTGGCTGGTTGCATCCTGTGGCTGAGTCTGACAAACCCGATACGAGTATTTTCTTGCGCCTTGCGGCTACGGTTACCAGCTTCGCTACAGACACCTGCCCCCTCCCCCCAAAGCTGCGACCTGCACAGGGAAGATGCCAACGATGGCTGGGTGCGATCGGTGGACCTCGACACAGCACAGCTCTTCTCGAGGTATCTGCGCCCCGTGTGCCACTCTCTTGCCTTGCTTTCGGACTAGGGGAACCTGAGACCTCTCTCCGTAAGCTGTGTCTTGCTGGGGCTGGACACCTTTTCGAGAACCGCCTCGACCCACTTACGACGCGTCCATTCTCCCCGACATCTGCGAGAAACGGGCCCTTTACATGGTCAGGCGCTCCGCGGCTCCCCCCCCTCCCCCTCCAATGGTGTGCATGGTTGTGGGGTTTTGGGGTTTGGGGTTTAGCTCAAGTTTTCGCGTCTAAAGTCAAAAGTTGTAAGGCTGCGAATCGACAAGAGCTT